CACTCTTTCTGAATTAAAATTTACCTTCTTTTTCGTTATTTGGTTAGTTTATATATATATCTTTCACTCTCTTTTGTATCTAATCTATTATAAATATCACTAAAAGGGAAACTCTTAGAAACCACAAATTGTTTTCTTAGACTCCCTACAGGTCAACCTTATATTTTTCTTTGTTCTCTAAGCTTTTACATTTTAGCTAATTTTTATAACAAAATTTTGTATCTTTTATTTTTTCTTACACATTATTATTTCATTGCCAACCTTTTTTATTTATAAACTTTTTTTTGATTCTCCATGTACATCTTTTGTCACTTGTTTAATTATGCTTGTTATATTATCCCACATAGAATTAACTTCTCCATGAACATCCTAATCTTAAAAATTTAAACTTTATTCATAAAAATAATTTTATTTGTCTTTTTAAGTGTATGATTTTAATATTATGACAATATTTCATTGTATTATTTATCTTTCAATTCTTCATCTTAATCGATGTTGAGTACTTAAATTTTGTTGAGTACTTAAATTTTTATGAGTACTTAAATTTTTATTTGGAATGACCTTACAATTTTTACATTCTCGATGATCTCTTTTTTTCATAAGAAAATCAATTTGCGTTTTATTATATCTTTTTTATAAGTAATAATATGCTATTCTTTTTTCTTAAATAAAATATTAACAATAACAAAATCATACGCTAAAGCAAAATCTAATATGGTTTTATCTGCTTCACCAATCACTCCAAAATCTTAGCCACCATGAATTTTTATAAAATATTCTACCAATTTACCAGAATGTCCATTAAATTTCTCCAATAAAAATTCTTTTTTAATGAGGTATTATTTTTATTAATTGTTTTAGGTCATTGCAAAATTTTTCTTTCTAATTTATATTGAAACCTATTTTAGGAGCATAAGCATTCATAACATTAAAAATCTTAGTATCAACAACAATTTTTTTTGTTATAATTTTTTCTCTAGTTCTATTAATTTTTACAATATTATCTTTTAAACTCTCATATATATAGTTACACATGCATCATTTTTAGTGTGACTCCTACCTGAATGCTAAAATCTAAAAACTAAGTTGTTAATTTCCTTAGCATTTTCTCCAGTTCATTTAGTCTTTGGAATGCATAAGATATTTATTTTTATATGAATCGTAATATCTACTAATTTCTTTAATTTACTTGTGAGAGTACTTATTTTTCAAAATTTTATCCTAATATTAAGTTCATGAACTAACTTCTTTGTGCGTATTCATTTATAATTGGGGAACCCTTGCTTATTTAACACTACACCCGGGTGCTGGTGCAGTGCCTTTCTCGCACTTTTCACTGTAGTGACTTTCTCACACTTTTCACAGTATTCAAGCCATACAACGTGCTGCTTCCAGGAGACGTCCTAGGGCTTACACAATGATTTAAGAGATTCATGTAATGATTTTTTAGACAATTTTTGCGTCGATTGCTGACTATGTAACATAACCCTCAACTTTCCACATCTGAAGATTGGGACCCGACAAACGGGCAGCAATGTTTAAGGATACAAAAATAAAATTATTTAAATACATTGATGGCACTTTTTTGTAAAGGATTGCTAAAAACATTTTAAGAAAAGCCTCTTTATGCTGCTTGTACGAGCAGTTTAGCTGATCTACGACAGCATTTGAGTTCTATGCTATTCACTTATGTTGAACTGATGGTTTTCTTTTGCTGTTCTGAATAGCGTAAGTGCATGCCAGTGATATGTCTAAAGGTATACACTTGAAAAGTATATTTGGTTGCAGCCTCGCCGAACATTAAAAAATATGGTCACCAAATGCTTCCAACTGTCTTTTGATGTTGTCCAGCTTTGTAATACTAGCATTTGCTATTTAGGGAATAGTAAAATGCTCAGAAATATATCTTTATATGCTTTTGTGATGTTTGATTCTGATGTGGGAATGCTAGAAAAATGCTGAAATGTGAAGGAATTTCCTTGCGCCAGGCCAAATCAAACTTCATTGCTTTATGAAGCAAAAGAAACATTTTCACATGTCAGCTTTTTAAATAACTCAAATGTATTTTTGTTGTAGTCCCCTGTTTATTGTAGAATGCTTGGATTTCGTTTGATAATGATTACGTCTCTATGAATTAGCCATCCCATTGAAAGTGGTTTCCAGTTGGAATTTGAGATAAATTGAAAATTTTATATTTCTTTGGAAGCTTGGCACTGTCTTTCCCTTCTCTGAAGAGGATACTAATGGGGAAAGGAAATAAATGACTTTATTGATCATTTGGTGTTATTTAGTAGGAATTTTTTATCACCTGTTAAGTGCACACTATATTTCAACTGTTTAAACATATCATCTTATGGAAATAACTCTTATCTAGATTAATTTACTAAGATAGCCTTTTTAGTTTTTATCCTGTGTCAAAATCTGGAATGGATAATTCACTAGATTAGCAGATTTATATTCTGTGGAAAGGCTTAAGCATGGGTACACCTTTTTACTAGTCTTCTATTCTGCTTCACCATATTCGCAGTTGCTATGAGTTTGAGCAGATGATTTTGATCATTGTGATATCTTTAACTTATTAATGTTTATTTTATTTACGGGATTCAGAGGCATAATTTTTATTTTTCTTATTATGTTTTTAGTTTAGTTAAGAATGGATTTCTTCAAAAATATATCACTTTGCTTATGATGCTGTTCTAATTTTCTGTTGATTTCATACAAAGGATTTAGATAGGAAAGTAACACAGAAATTTTTTCCTAAACAGCATCCTATTTTGTCTAATATATCTTTCTTTATAATGATTTTGCAGGTCACCTTTCTTTGTGAAGAAAAAGAGAGAATTGATAAAACCATCGCAGAAAAAGATGATTTATACTTGAAAGGAAACTCTGAATGTTTTAGGGAACAGAGTTCGGTGTTTCTCCCATTGGAACCCATTTGCGATGATAAGGTGAGGTTACTATTGTGATTACATATGCTAATCATTTGATTCTCTCATTTCATTGTGGATACTTGATTATTATATATGATATAATGGCTGGCTTGATTTACAGGTTTCTTCTGCTTCGTACGAACTAGAGCCATGCAGCACCTGTCCTGAAAATTCACAACCTAGACTTTTGACATGCATGGAAACACCACAAAAGTCCGAGGGATGTCCTAGTTCCTCCACTGACATTAGCTTCTTCGATAGAAATCTTGAAGATTTGCAGAACTCTAAGGGTTGTGCTAGCTCCTTTAATACCGCTAGTTTTAGAAATCAAAGTTCAGGTTATCGTGTGAGAGAAATAGTGCAGAGTTCCAAATTCAAAGCAACTAGTATGGTTGATGTAGCTATAAAGGTGAGCTCCAAGAATGTAGTCTGCTTACGACTATTTTGTTTTCAAAGTTCATAAAAGGATTTAATCGCTTTTCATCTCATTATTAAGGTCATTGATCTTGTTTCTCTTCTGATGTAGTTCTTTTTAAAAATATGATCTGGTTATTCAACTAAACATGAGCCTTTATGCAATAATTTTTATCATAGGACCTACTCTATGTAGTATTGACACAATCAATAACTTTGTGGAAATTATTTTCCAATTTGGTCACGTGGAAGCTTAAGTGTGTTCTGTAACAACGCTGAAGTCTCGTCTTCCTTTACAGGCAATGTCATCAATAAAAGCAGGAGAAGATGCTTATGCAATGATTGGAGAAGCCTTAGAATCAACAGGAATTCGACAGGTTGGTGTTCATTCCAGAATATCAAGATTAAAACATTCCTCTTATCAACAAAATGGGGGTCCACAAAACTGTCATCAAGATTTATTATGCAACCCTGCGGAGGTAGCATCAATAGTTCATTCCATCAATTCGACAGTTCCAACATTCTCCCAGAATTACTCCCGAATTCCTCCAAAGCTGATCTCAGCTTGTGTTGCTGCTATGCTAATGATTCAGGTATATTGTTGTGCATCATTGAAACAAAATAATTTGTTCCTTACGTATGCTAGACTATTAATTTTTCAGTTTACTGACCAGTTTGTTTAAATTTATTTATCCTTTTCAGCGTACACAAACCTTAATTATTGTGAAACTTCTGCATTATTCATTTTCAGCAAAACTAGTTACAACACACTTTTCAATATATTTCTAGGTTAACCTGACAAAACCATCAGAGAAAGTGTGATTCTTATTTTGAACATGTGCTTACAAACCTTTTTTTTTTCTTGAATTTGTGCTTACAAGCTACAATCCATGCATGTGATGACTCGTTTCTTTTTCCCGAGGAAGTCGAAAAGGAGAGGAAGTGAAGAGTCGATGAGAGGTGAGGAAACAAATAGCCGGGGACTCGAATGAATACGCTCGTTCTATAAATTGTCATTTGAGAAAATTAAAAGTAAGATCAAGCGGTAGAAACGACTTACCTGGAGAGTCGAACGGTGCGTCCGGGAGACAACGAGCATAAACTAGGGCTTTCACCTATCCGAAGGCGGCGACATCTATGTCTTCAATCAGAGTAGTCAGCAGGTGAGGAAGTCAACTATGCCTCTGTCAAGAAGGAAGCTCCCCCTTTAGTAGTCCAACTTTATCAAATAGGAAGTTATTTCGTGCGACTGTGTTCTACGCGAAAAAGAAGAAGAAGAGTAGAAGCATCAAGCAGATTATGTCTGTCGCGTGAAGCCAACTCTCGACTAAGCTCTAGTTGAGGCTAAAGAGCTCGCGGGAGTAGGGCTTTTGAGTCATTATATATATTTATATGAATTTAAGTTGTTCTTTAAATGCTTTTGATCATGCTATAAAAATATCATTTTTGGATCGAGGAAAGGCTCATGACAACAAGAAAGGTTAGGGTTTTATTTCCAAAATTATTTTGTTTAAAATAAAATATTTAATATTATGTAATGATTAAATTTTAATTTTGAAATCTTAATTAAAATAATTTAATTTATTATATTTGTATAGATGTAATAACATAATAATCATAATAGTATAAAAGATATAATCGAAATATGAAAATAAAGTCAACAATTTCTTAGTTTAAAGTGGAGTGGAAGTAAAAAAAAAAAAATGAATTATAAATAAATATTGATTTAATTTTAATTTTATTGGTCAAATTAAAGTAACATGAATACTTAAGTGAAAGCTTTTAATCAGCAATTAAACTATTATAAGCAAATAAAAGATATATAATGCTATACTTAAAATTATGTTTTCACAATATTTTAGATAGTTAACTATTGAAGACAAGATTGAGGCCCCGTTTGGGGCAGCTTAAAACAGTGGGCGGCGTTTTGAAAACGCCGCCTTACTGTTTTAATAACACGTTTACCCTGCGTGCTGGAAATCACGAATTTTATTTTAGGAATGACGCTGCCCGCGGGATCATACCGGCGGTCCGCGTTGCCTTGTCGCGTTTTCTCCTGAATTACTCCGCTACCCTCGCGATCGAACCCCTGCTCTTGCGCCTCTCGGATTCAGCATTTCTTCCTCCTTCGTTCGCGATCGAGCTCGCAAACCCACTCCCTGCTTCGTTCGTGATCGAACTGTAGCCCTTTCCTTCCTCCTCTCCGATTCACTATTCTAGGGTTTCCTCCTCTCTGAAGTCGACTGCACCGAAGCCCTCTCTTCCTTCCCCTCTGTGCCGAAAATCGCATGAGTGCTTCTACCCCTTCAGCCATCAAGAAGAGCGCAAGAAATCCCTTCCGTTTTGCAAGCTTTGTAAGTTGAAGCTATCCCTATCTCATTTTTGGTAATTGGAACTTTTCAACTTCATTTTGATTGAATTTTGAGTTATTTGCCTTATCAAAGGTTTATGTAAATAAAAAAGTTCAGTAAATCTTTTCTTAAGCAATCCCTATCTAGAAAAGGATTCTATAGGTGTAAGGAAATAAATAAGTTCAGTAAAGCTTTGGCCTTTACATGATGTAAGCTTTTATGATGTAAGCCTTTATATGATGTAGGCCCCTTTGGAACATTTGGAATAGCATGAACTTCTTATATTCAATCAATGATGGTTTAAAAATTCTCATTTAATGCTTTTTGCCAGGGCAAAATTTGGATGGATTCTAATCTTAGCATAAAGAAGGCATCTATTTAGTGTTCTTATTTTATTTTTCTATGTTGTTTACTGTTTTATCGATTAAACTTTTTATATCTTTTTCGTCTGACTTCTTGAGGTGGGTTTACTAACTTTTCAATAATTGTAAAAAAAAAAAGGTGCATCTTTCCTATATGACATAAGTCACTTTAAACTATAGTAGTCATTGGATGTGTAATCCACAATTTCATTTCATCAAAGCTTAATACAGTACCGAGTGATTCAAATTTCAAAGCAAGGGCAATTTATATATCACTCAATGGATTCACATTTAAACACAAAATCTATGTAATCCTTTAAATATTTAAATAGAAATAATAACAAATATTTTTGTAGTCATGAAATTCATTTAGCAAATAGTTAAGTCTCTTTTTATTTTAAATATTTGTGTATTAATTTACATTGCCACAAAAGCTCATGCTTTAACATGATTTCACTCATCAATTTTAGACTTCATATTATGTCTTATTCTTTCTAATTTAGATTCAATTGAGATCATAAATAAATTCGTAGTTTGGATTTCGAACTCAAGTTTGCTTAATTCTAGTTTTTGTTTTTTATTTTATTTATTTTTTTCATTTGGAAGATTTACATACATACCATTCAATGTACATATCTTGCACCCAAACTTTAATTTTTTTTGTTGTGGGAGTTTCTTACGCACTAACCAAACAATACAACTTATTCAGAACAGGGGCAGAATGGTCAATTTTCCAGGATCAGTTGTTTTCCATAAGCGCAACCAAACAGCCAGACAGCTTATCCGGATCAGCTGCTCATCAGCAGATTATCAGGATAAACTGCTTATCAGCAGAAGCTGGATAAGCTGCAGCTACCCCAAACAGATTCTAAGTGAGTTTGATGATTTAAGACAAATCATATAATTTTAAGGTAAGTACATATTTTCTTTTGCTATAGAAATATTTTGTTTCTTCTCAACAAATGTATTTACTACTATTATTATATTTATAACACTGCATATCCATGATATATAATTTTATTAAAATTTGTTCATATTGTAAGAATGATCTGTGTACTCATATTTGTTTAAATTATCATAAATATTAAATATTATGCAAGAATATTGACTGCTATGCAAATGAGAATTAAATATTCATTATTAAAAAATGATTTTTTTTATAGTATACTTGTATGTGCATGCTTGGCTATGATGAAGTCACATTTTTATGGTACTAGTGAGTTAACGCTAAGGTACCAATGTACGTATATGAAAAATGATATTGATATTAAAGTATCTTAATTACGTATACACAAGAGCACTTTAACGTTCGAGAGTCCAGATCACAGTTTGTCAAAAGTATAGTCATTGTGGATAAGTAATTAAAATCATTTCAAGATTTACGCCCCCCCATTGTTTAAGGCAACTGAAGATTTTATTGAAAAAGAGAATTGACTGATGCAAATTGAGAATATATTAGATAGTATGGTCTGTTCAGATGAATGATTATTTGTGTTGGATGGAGAAGCTGAAAGGTGGCGGCGTGGGCATCGTCAGGACAAGCTAAGTGGCACACCTAACATGATGGTCAGTTGGGAGAAATTTATGTAGTTATTCAAGAGAGTGGTTTGTAGCTCTATCTACTCGAAGATAAATGCACGACAAATTTATCAGATTGGTTCAGGGAGAGAAAAGAGTTATGCCGTATGAAGCAAAATTCATTGCACTATCAAGGAATGTGCCGCAATTGATCGCTACTGCAAATGAAATGTGCTGCAGATTCCATTTCGGATTAAATGATTTGATCAGACAACCATTGGTGCCTTTGAGGATTGATGAATACTCAGTATTGGTGGAATGAGTTAGAAGAATGGAGATCGATTGTCAGTTTACTTAAAAACACAAGGAGACGCACGAGAAAAAGTAATGATGAAGGAGAACACGTATATCAATTAGAAGAATCTAATGAGAAGTTTAAGTTCAATTCAGGTGGATTGAGTAGAGGCTTGACTCAGAGTAATATAGTCACTTGTGCCTAATGCAGAAGACAACATAGGGAGAATGCTTAATGGACTCTAACACATGCTACTGGTGTCGTCAGCTTGGTCATATAATAAGATATTGTCCATCGCTTGGTCTGAAGAGCACTGAAGATCAAAAATCAGGTGGAGTTTCTTCAAAGAAGACTGCAGAGCAAAAAAGGACAGAGTCTATAGCTTCAACTCCAATCTAGGTCCAACCAAGGCAACCTATTCGACATCGACTTAATTCCCTTACTCATAATGAGCTTAAAGAACTTATTGTTGCTAATGGTGATAGGGCCTAATGAGTTTGACACTTTCTTACAAGAGTGTTTTCCTAATGTAACAATCATGCTGGGTCCCAAACCCCATATGTGAAAAGTGGAGGGTTGTATTAGGCAAGACGACAGTCAGTGTAAAATTTGTCAAAAAAAATCATGACATGAATCTATTAAATTCTTGTATAAATGCTAGGGTATCCCTTAGAAGCGACACACTATATGACCTGAATATAATGAAAAGTAAGGGTCGATACACTGTCGGACAGGTGTAGTGTCAACTAAGCAAGAGTTTCTACATTATAGACAAATGCAGACCAAAAAATTATTCCATGAAACTAGTATTAGGATTGGATCTTGGAATGTATGTGTTTTCACAGGTTAATGAAATTAGTCGATATTATGGTTCATGGGAAGATAATATCTTATGGATTAAAGAAACTAAATGGGTTGGAGAAAAGACTAAGGAAATTGATAGTTTATGTTTTAAACTTTGATATTCAGGTAAGAGTCACACTAGAATGATGTAGGTGTAATTATAGATAAGAGTTTAAAAGAAAATGTTGTTAAAATTAAAAGAATTGGAGATAGAATTATAGCTC